TTTTTGCCTAATTGCCCTGGTGAGGACTCCCAGGATGCTTCAAAATGTCCTTGTCTTGCTCCTGACCTCAGGAGGATGTTTTCAGGTTTCACCTCTGAGGGTAATTTCCACTGTTGAGCTCTCCGTATGTGTGGAGGCAGTGCTGGAGAAAATGTTACCTCGATTTTAGATCAAGGTTGTCCAAAATGGAGAAGCAAGCTTTGGGGGAAGGAATCTCAGGCCAGTGTCAAGACAATTCGATTGCATTCTTAATATCTGCTGTTTCAGTGAGGCTAAAGGAGGTACCTCTAGTTGTCTTGAGGATAATGATCCTTATTGCTTCTACAACAGCCTGTACCAAGAATAATAATATAAAGAGAAAGAAAGGGGAGGAAGGAGGGTAAGAGGAAGAAAAGGAGAGAGAAAGGGAGAATAAAAAGGACTAAAAAAAACAAAACAAAAAAAACAAAACCTAAAAAACCTTTGCTTCCCTGGACATACTTTCTCTCTCCACAAGAAGAACTATTATTCCCTCTCTCCCTGGTCAGTAAGCCAACAGAGCAATTTTAAATCCAACATCCTGGAGGACACTTGAGGCCCCGGATCGCAGCCCTTCCCATCAGCCATTGCTCTTCCCATCAGTTATGCGTTTCATCAGCCTCTGTTCCTCCTTCCCAGCTGTTACTCTTGTTATTAGAAGTGACAACTTCCGAGCTCTTCACATGTAAACTGGTAGCTGTCTTTTACTAGAATATAGATTTGTCTTCAGTATTTGGACAACAGATGAGAGTATGTCTGCAGATAAATTATTTCACATTGTGAGGTAATTTACATATAATGAGGCACTTTTTCAGTAATTACATTTATATTATTTACTAATAAATAGATGTCATTTTAATATATGAAATTAAATGCAAAATGCTTGCAAAGCCAGAGGATATCACACCATATTTAGCCAGCAATCTTGTTTTATGGCATTTTAGAATGTTACTTAAAACCTAAGAAATGCCACGGCATGGTTTCCATCAGGGATTTTTATACATGTAGTACTGACAGGAGTACAGAGCTGTAATTTTTACTATTAAATTTTATTTGATAAATTCATTAAAATCACATGGTCAGGCAGGTAGGACAGGACACATCTGTGAGTGGGTAATCTGAGGGAAGTTGCCTGAGAGCCATGGACTAGTATGAGCCGGTCTAGAATTTGCAGCCAGGTCTCCGTGAATGGACAGTGGTTTCCACCGATGAGACTGGCAGGTGAAAGGCGAATGGAGCCTTCCTTGAAGAATTTGCCAACACAGGAAAAATTACTAAAAAAATAATGCACAACCCTCACCACAGAGCTGATAGCCTGTTGTCATCCGTCTACGCCCAAGCTTGTGTCCTGAGAACTTCTCTTAGTTTTATGTATGAAGTTAGGTACTTCACTTCATACCTTAATGTCTCTTGGGCTGGCTAATATAGTAAACAAGAACAAAGCACTTTTGGAGTTAAGAATTTACATAGCTGTGTTCCATTTTTCTGTCATTACTTGTAAAGAGGCAACGGCCTATGAAAATTCAATGGAAAGAAAATTGGACTTTTCTCTACCCTATCCTGTCATTCCTAGGAATGAAACAAATTTAACTTTCCTCAGACTACCCAGATACATCTAGCACAGTTTTTTTTTAATAAAAGTTCACACAGCCAGTGATTTCATAAAGGAGGGAAATATCAATGTCCCTTTTGTCCACATTGATAAAGTATCTGTCCACCAAGGATTAATCATACCAGGAGGAATATATTGAGAACTCAGTGAACCATTCAAACGGTTTGTAGTAGAATGAGTAAAAGTCTCAGCTGTTGGCTTATGGATTTAAAGATAATTAGCTGTTTGACAAAGCATGCATGCATGTATGACTGCTGCTCTCCTTCCTTTTAACACAGACTCTATGAACAAATCCGGGATCTCACTCTCTTCCTCTTCAACGATGCGCTGCTTGTTTCTAGCAGGGGCACATCTCATACTCCATTTGAAAGGACTTCAAAAACAACCTACCAGTTCACTGCTTCAATGGCCCTTCACAGGTTACGAATAGAGGATATCCCAGATTCCAAGTGTATGTACTGCTTTCCTTCAAGAGATTGATATCTTTATGAAGCTATTCTATATAAAGCTCATTATTAAAACAGAAAAGTAACAAATGGACTGGTATTGTAATTTTCCAGTGCATAATTCTTAAAACAGGATTTCATTAGACTGTCAGCTACCACTGAGATAAAAAGGAAAATGGCATTATCCAACCCTAGACATTAGGAAGAGATTTTAAACTCACAAAGAGGGGCAAGACCTTACTGGGTAACAAGTAGTTTCTGAGGCAGTTTGACCAGAGGGCTTAATCAATCTCCACTGTCTGAAGATCAGAGGCCTAAAACACTATTTTTATTTAACATTTTTATCTATTAACCTAATAACTTATTTTCCATTAATTTGTGTTAATTTTCCACTCTGCTAGGACTAAGTGGTAATCACAGATTTGACTGTACTTTGTCATCCTTAAACTCACATTTAAAATGGGATGTATTTCCAACAGAAAAACATTTATCCCCAAATCTTAAACCCATTACTTTAGTAATACACTCTACTTCCCAAGCTTATCTATTTCTTATGTTTGTTAGGCCAATCAGAAGGTAACATCTCTAGCCGGGCGTGGTGGCGCACGCCTATAATCCCAGCACTCGGGAGGCTGGGGCAGGAGGATCGCTGTGAGTTTGAGACCAGCCTGGGTACCTAGTGAGTTCCAGGTCAGTCTCAAGTACATAGAGAGACCCTGTCAATATATCAAAAAACAAACAACAACAACAAAAGGTAGCATCTCTCATTCCAGTAAATAGGACTTAAGGCAGAACAGGAACCAAGATCTTGGAGAAGGAACTCATCTAAATAAAAAGATGGCTTCCCAGTATCTTTAGGTTGGTCTAAATCTGAGCCTGAGAAAAAAATAAACAAATGTGGGAAAAAGCATTTTGAGACTACATATCATCTGCAAGAAGGTAATCTCAGGTAGAGTTATACATAACTACCTAGTATGGTTAGTCTGAAACACCTCCCTCCCACCCTTGGAATTACCTTGCTCTGACACTGTGTCACCCAGTGAGTGGGTGGCACTGGCCCTTGTACTATGGTTGTCTAGGTCCAGCTCTTGGCATCTCTAATAGTGACACCTTGGTTGTTGAACTCCCTTTGTTCCAAATTCTGTTGAACCCTGAAAAGTTTAAGAACTGAACTATTTTTCCCATAATAGAAAACCACATAATTGGTTCTGAGGTCCAAAAATTAAACATAAATTCATTTTTCTAGGACTTAAGAAATTTCACAATGATTACCTCTATCATGGTTCTTAGTTTTCCTCTAAGCCATGGTTATATTTTACACAAATAAGGGCGAACACCCCAGTGACAAATGTTTTAACGCACTAACACAAGCACTATATATTGTCTGGGTGAGAGCAGCACTTAGACTGCAGTGTCACCCCTTTGTGTGTGCGGTGAGACGACACGTGACACACTCTCAGCCTGTACAGTTTTTTTCAAATTGGATTTTCAGTTCAACTATGAAGCAAAGTTAGAAAAACCAAGATTTTCTTTGAACTTAGCTGTTTGAGGAGTGGAAAGTTCAAGCTTGGAGCCATCCGAAAACTGAGGTATCACTAGTTATTAGTAAAGATCTTTACTGATTTTAGTTTCTTCCAGAATGACTGAGGTAAGAAATTAAGGAACATCACATTGTCTACCATTTGGCCTTTAAAATAACTGCTAATCGGCCGGGCATGGTGGTGCATGCCTGTAATCCCAGCACTCGGGAGGTTGAGGCAGGAGGATCACTGTGAGTTCGAGACCAGCCTGGGCTACATAGTGAGTTCCAGGTCAGTCTCAACTACATAGTGAGACCCTGTCTCAAAAAACCAAAATAAATAAATAAATAAATAAAATAACTGTTAATCATATAAGGACAAAATTATTTTAATTATTTTAGAAAGTTATATTTTAAACTGGATTTGTTCTTGTTCTGAATCATCTTTGGGTTTCAAGAAAATTTTAAAGATGAATTGGTCAATTCTAATTTTTAAAATAAAAAATTTAAGGGCCAGGGACTTAGCTCAGTGGTTCTGCCACCTGCCTTGAGGGCACAAGGCTCTGCATTCGATCCCCAATACGCCCCCAAATTAAAAATTTGAGACAGGGTCTTACCTGTCACTAAGTTGTCCAGCTTGGGCTCGAACTTGCAATCTTCCTGCCTCATTTTAAAACACCTTCTCTTTTTGATTGTCACTTGCAAAGATTAATAATTAGTGTACCTAAAATGCTTTTACAGATGTCAAGAATGCATTTATTCTTCAAGGTCCAAAACATGAATGGATCTGTGCTACTGAAGGGGAGGACAACAAATTCCTATGGTTGTCAATACTCCAAAAAGCAATCAGAAGCAGCGTGGAGAAGTGAGATGGGACTGGAGGAAAAGATCAGCTGTGCCGACTCTCGCTGACCAAAGCAGACAACACGTATTGTGTCCTAGAACGTCCAGTGAGAAGCAGAATGACTGTATCGTGGATGACAGGATAAACTAGGATAGACCATAAGGTTTAAACTTTATCAATCTGGATAAGAAAATGGAGAAGGTATATGAACCATGGGTCTAAAATTTTGAACCACTATTTTTGGTAGCTATTTTTCATGGATAATATTTAAAATAATTTGATGTGATGAATTCTAGGACAGCAAGCATATTATGTGACATTTTAAAAAAAGGATCTCATGAAAAATAAAGCCAGAACAAAAAATGGTATTAAATGACCAGCTATAAAAAACAATCTGATTTATCAATCTTTAAAATTTTCATGAAACAACTGATTTAAAAATACATAATTATAAATGGTAACTTTCTTAAATATTTGTCAAATATTCTTAATATGAATGAACCTCTTTAGAAAGCATTAAAATTAGATTACAAAGAACTAAAAAGCTTTCTACAATAATTTTTTTGCTGCCAAACTGAACTGTTAGATCCTACAAACAAAAAACTTTAGAATACTGTTCGTTAATATTGTTAAGTTAGAAAGCCAGTGAGAAAAAGCAATTTTTTGTGGTGCTGAGATTTGAACACAGGGCCGTGTGCATGAAAGACAAGAGCTGAGCCACATCCCCAGCCCCAGATAAAGCAATTTTTAAAATACAAAAATAAACCTTCCTAAGTCTTCCAACCCGTTCCTGCCAGTTTGAACTACTAGTGGTACACGCATGACTGTCCCAGTTAAGAGCCACCCAGCAGCAGGACATACAAATTATAGCCCTGTCAAGAATGTGTTAAAACCTTTGAGTGTTTAACAAATTAAAACCATAAGCTGTTAGCCACTTGGAAACGAGGTGATATATGCAGTAGTAATATTTTTACCTACTTTAGTGCTATCTAAAAGATACACATACTATCTTGGAAGCTTTAGGTTGTCACTTTCATTTCTGCTTGGTAATCTCTTAAAGTATTAAAATACACTGGTACAATCTAGGATCGTGAAGGTGGGCTACTTTAGTATCATCTTTCACAAATGAAACTACAAATTCCTTCTGATAATTTAAAATCTTGTTATAAATATATAAAAATTAAAAATATTGTACTATTTTATTAGGGTAAAATCACACTCCTGGATCTATTCAGATATATCCATGTAATTTAACATTTCTGATCCTACAGAATAAATTTTAAAAGGATTATCTGCTGTTACTCAGCAATGAATGCAAATTTTACAAATGTGATAAAAATTTCACATATAAAACAAATTGTAAAACAGCATTTTATCCCGAACATGCCACACTCTAGAACCTCTGTTAATAGGAAAAACCTGCTTATACAGCAAAGGAATTGCACCAAGATAGCTTAAGGTCAACTAGAAATCTCAGGGAACCTTCATTTCTTCTGGGAATAACTGATATGCTCAGAAGTTTAGAAACACAAAACTTGAACATAATCTCTGCAAAACTTCTAGTAGAATTAAATGCATCAATCACATAAAAGCTGCAATGTTTCCCAGAGAATAGGACATAGGTAGTGGTTTCACTCTCTTCCTTCACCTTGAGGGAAGGACTTGTCTTCATAGCTATCTGACTGCTGCTGAATTAAAGTCTCTCTCTCTCTCTGTCACTGATGAAACTGATCAAATTCTAACAAGGAAAATATAAAGCTGATCCCCCAGTATATGTAAAAGAAGCTTGAAGTATCAAATGACTCCTAAAGAATGCTGATTACTGCAGACTGTCTTATCCCATAGTTCTCTAACAAACGAAGTTAAACAGCGAAAAAAAATTGCGGGGGGGGATTTTTTGAGACAGGGTCCTCACTATGTAGTTGAGACTGACCTGGAACTCACTATGTAGCCCAGGTTGTTCTCAAACTCAGAGCGATCCTCCTGCTTCAGCCTCCTGAGTGCTGGGATTACAGGAGTGCACCACCACGCCCGGCTCAACAGCAAATTTATTTTAAAGATTTTTACAGAATAGAGATAATCTGTGTAAAATACTACACCTAAAGAGAACAAACTGACAGATAATAAATTTTCTTTTCAAAGAATTCGGAGTCTGTGCTTGAGATATAAGCAAGAAGTTCACTCTAAATCAAACTGGTGTGGCTTTGGCCACATAAATACAATGATCCGTATTATATATTCCTAATATTAAGCAACAGCAAGGGTGTGGTATACCAACAAACACAATATACCCTCCAGAAAAAGTCATCCTGACACTTTTATTGTTGAAATTAAAAAATAAAAGATACTTAAATACAACGGTGAACATAAAAGGCAAAACAGAATCATAAAACTTAATGTTGAATTAAGCAGTGAGCTGAATGTTGGGGACTCCAAATTGGCTTCAAACCCCAAACTGCTTAAAAATGAGTATGTTCACAGTTAACGGCAATTGGCTTATAGGTGAGAGAATGGTCGAAGTTGTTCCAGTTGAACTTCCAGGGAAATTCTCTCTTCAAGAACATCCTGAAAAAGATGCACAGTTCAAGTTATGATTCTTAGTATATAAAAATGAAGGTACATCTAATCACAGCTCTACTTCAAGACAGCAATTTATATTTGTCAAGAAGACTAATGGACCTGCATGCACTATTCATATTTTAAAAGTATATACCACTTTAGGAGGAAGTTTCCTTATATATTCATAATATGAAAACATGATCACAGTAACTTAAATGTTTCTCATATTATATAAAGTAGGTTTAAAAATGTTTTTAGGCTATTAGAAAAGCCAGTATTTGCAAGAGATGGGCATTAATACATGAATTTTATGTATTTTGCCACCAAATTAACTATAGATAAATCAGTTAACATAAGATTTCTCAATCTTATGATATGTGGTTATAGCAACTCTTTAATCTCATTTTGAGTATCATTTCTACTTTGCAATCAGGTGGGTGGGTGTGTGTGGGTGTGTGGGTGGGTGTGTGGGGGTGTGTGTGTGTGTGTGTGTGTGTGGGTGTGTGTGCGTGTGTGTGTGTGTGTGT